TTGGGTAATCTACCCCTGTGTTGACAGCTGTATTTTTGGCTGTTAGAACAGGTCTCGCTCCCAGGAGGTGCTCAGTAAATCGTTAGGGAATGAATGCGTTTTCCAAGGTGGAGATGTGTGCTTGTGTGTGTCCTTGTCTATAGAATAATAAGTGGACTTAAGTGTTTAGCACAGGGCAGCCGATCTCCCTTGCATCCCATGCATTCGTGTCTCCTCTCATAATATTTGTCATCTCCTGTAAGAATAAGGACATTGTCTTTCATTCACCTCTATATTTAAGTGCCCAAAATAGTTCATCCTAGGTCACCAATCAATATTTATTGAGTAAATAAATGAATCATACCAACCTGGCCAGAATGTAGTCTAGAAACATTTGCTCTAACCAATCCACATTTCTATCTCTTATTGTAATAGGATCAGAGATTTTTGCCTGAATACTTCTTAACCATTTGAAAATGCATTTTGTAGTCACCTTCAAGTAGTGAGAAAAAGAATCAGGATATAGTTTCAATTTTTCATCAAAATCATAAAATAACATAAACAAGTCAAATAATCCTCTGGTTTAAGAAACTAAACAAAAACACACCAAAAAAGAGATGGAAGAAGTTCCTTGTGTTCTGAGATGGAGCTATCTGTAAGACATAGTGTTATTTGTCTTTTTAAGTGCAGTGAGGTACTCTACGCTACCTGTGGTGTAAACATGGTTATGAAATAAGAGTCTATAGTCTTAGATTTGTTTGAATACCCTTAAGCAAGCCTCAAGCAAGACATAAGTAGCAGCAGAGGTTGCACAGCATCTGGGTACATGACGCAGATGCAAGACTGGGGATGACAAGCAGATTTTTAAGGGCATTATGCAAAATAAAATATAAAAGCAAAGACAGAAAAGGTAGATCTGAAAACTTGAGTGTTGACTACTTGACTTCAGTTGTTCCTTCTGTTAAGAAGGAAAATACCTGTGACTTGGAAGTTAATTGCAGAAACTCGTGGAGAGACTCCCTCAGGTAAAGAGAAAGCAAGATCTCTAGAAAAAACAGTAGCAAAATTGCCTTCTTTCACGCAAATAGCAGTGATGTCGGCACCAGTTCATTCCCAGAACACTACAGAGACAGGTAGTTTCCTCTCTGCCATGATGGAATGACTTTTGAGGACTTGAATACTCAACCCACTGGGAAACCAGGTCTCACCATGATTTTATTTCTGTTCTATAGAGCAGCCTTTTCTTCTAGAGCCGAAGAGAACTGCCAGGAGATTTCCATTCACAATTTCCCTTTTACAGAAATTTAGGCAAGAGCAAAGAGATGGCTGATGCTTCATTAAACTTGAACCCTTCGATAAATCCAATTTTGAGAACCTTGCCCTTCTATTTTCCTGTATCTTAATGTTCCATATCAAATCAGTTTTGAGCTATTAGTAATTTAGACCAGTACTGTCCAGTATAGAATTTACTGCAATGATATGTTGTTGTTAGGTGCTGTCGAGTCCTTACCCACTCACAGCAACCTTATGCACAACAGAATGAAACACTGCCCAGTCCTGCACCAATCTCACAATCTTTGCCATGCTTGAGCCCATTGCTGCTGCCACTGTGTCAATCCAACTTGTTGGGGGTCTTCCTCTTTTTTGCTGACCCTCCACTTTACCAAAAATGATATCTTTTTCCAGTGACTGGTCCCTCCTAACAATATGTCTGAAGTATGAGAGACAAAGGTTGGCCATCCTGACCTCCAAGGAGCACTCTGGCTGCACTTCTTCCAACACAGATCTGTTTGTTCTTTTGGCAGTCCATGGCACTTTCAGTATTCTCCTCCAACACCATAATTCAAATGCATCAATTCTTCTACGGTCTTCCTTATTCACTGTCCAACTTTCGCATGCATATGAGGTTACTGAAAATACCATGGCTTGGATAAGGCGCACCTTAGTCCTCAAGCTGATATCGTTGCTCTTGAACACTTTAAAGAGGTCTTGTGCAGAAGATTTGCCTAATGCAATATGTTGTTTGATTTCTTGACTGCTGCTTCCATGTGTGTTGATGGTTGGTTCCAGCAAAATGAGGTCTTTGACAACTTCAATCTTTTCTCCATTTATATGGATGTTGTTGATTGGTCCAGTGGTGAGGATTTTTGGTTTCTTTACACTGAGTTACAATCCGTACCAGAGGCTGTGCTCTTTGATCTTCATCAGTATTTTAAGTCCTCCTTGCTTTCAGTAACACCTGCATATCACAGGTTGTTAGAGTTTTACTCCAATCATGATGCCACGTTCTTCATCATAAAATTCAGCTTCTCAGATTACTTGTTTAGCAAACAGTTGAATAAGTAAATATCAATAAGCAATGATATAAATGTTCCTATATCTGAAAAGTCTAAATATTTACTGTCTGGTCCTTCACAGAAAATGATTGCCAACTCCTCTTCTATTGGTTAGTGATATGTTAGGCACCATGGTAAGAACTTGCATGCATTGTTTTAGTGAATCTTCAGGGCAACTCTCTGTGGAACGTTCTATTGTTTTCCTTATTGGTAAAGTGTGAAGTTTACGTTGAGAGCACTGAATAGCTCAAGAGTCAAAACTGGGGCCCTCTCTTTATGACTGTGATTCAGGAGACAATGTGTTTAGCAACCAAACTATAGGCCAGGGCTTCTCACACGTTAATGTGCACACCAATCAATGGGGGATCTCGTTTCAATGTTAAAACTTACTCATTCGACAGTCTGAGATGGGGCCTGTGGGTGTGTGTGTCTATCAATCTTCCCGGTGATGCTGACCCTCCTTTTTTACCCACCACAGCCTCTAGACCAGTGACACTCAACCTCGGAATCTCCTGAGGTTGTGTTTTTTTAAAAAAAATGTAAAAGGTTTGATGCCTGTCCCTGTCCTCAGAGAGTCTGATTTCATTGTCTAGGACTCAGCCACCTGCAATTTTAAAAAGCTTCCCTGGTTACTCGAATATACATTGAGGGCTGGGAAACAGTGCTGGAGAGAACATTCAAGTGGGAATCCAAAGACCTGAATTCTAGTTCTTGCTCTGACATGGCACATTGAAGCAAGTTGCTTCCCTCTCTGGGGCTGAGTTTTCTTCACAGGGGAAAAATGAGGAGGCTCAAGTCAGATAATCTCCAAGCCTTAAACTCAGGTCCTCACACAAACAGGTGCGGGGACCACAGTGTCCACATCTCCCAATGCACTGGATGCACAAAATGATGCCCAAACACCTGGTCTATTTAGGGCAAAACTTCAGACAGACGTCTGTAATTAATTATTATTTTGTAAATTTGTATCAATATAGGAATGCTTCCATATAGCTATGCTGCCTCATACCGCACACAGTCAAAATTAAAGTTAAAGGGTGACCAATTTATTACTCTCACAATGAAATGATTGTGAGAGGAATACTTGTCTCTTGTAGGAAATCTAGAAATTTCCCAACAGTATGGAGAACCTCACACACTCATAGTCCTTAGAACTACATTTTAACCATCTCATTTATCAGACCTTGGTCAAGTAATTAACATGGTAATCATATGATTTCCCACAGAAATAAGGGAGTGCTGGGTTACCCACAGGGGTCTCCTCACAAAAATGCTAAAGGCTAAAGCTGTCTTATTACATCTTTGGTAAATGCAGTCTAAGCTGACTGCCGATGAGCCTACTCCAAAGTAGTGTAGGTTCCTATTGGGAGCATGGGAACTACAGTCTGTACATTCAAATCCTTTGACAGCACTTTCATACCTAATTAGATACTAGTCTACTCTCAGTTTCTTTATCTATGGATTAGACTTCCACCATGGAAGTCTCCTCCACATTTGTGAACTACTTTAGAAATTTGCTGATGAAAGATACTAGACAAAAAGACTTAGCTCATTGCTTTCAATGAAAATCACTACCTGGATGAAGAACCCCTACTGTGTCGTTAGTTGTCATCCATTGAATACAACTCATGGTGCCACCATACACAACAGAAGGACACCTTACTCAGATCTATGAGCCCATTGTTGCAGATGCTGTGTCTTTTCAGTGGCTCCTAACCTAGAGGGCTCATCTTCCAGCACTGTATGGGACAATATTCTGCTGTGGTCATCGGGCTTTAATTGGCTCATTTTTGCAAGTAGCTCGTTTTAGTCTGGAAGGTCCCCTGAAATCTGTCTACCATGAGTGACCTTGCTGTTATTTGAGACATCACCAGCATAGCTTCAAGCATGGCAGCAACACTCAAGCCACCACAGTACAACAAACAGGCAGACAGACAGGGGCAGAAGTAGGTAGCAGATAGGAAAATGGACTGGAACCAGACAGTTCTGCGTTCAAATCCACTTTCTGCCTCTAACTGATAATGAATCCTCAGCTTCATTAAGCCACATTTTCTGTTTGTAAGTGGGGATGATAATAATAATGAATGAATCAACTATTTGTAAACGAATATTAAAGGTACCATAGACTGCCAGAAGAACTAATATATTTGTGTTGGAAGAAGTACAATCAGAATGCTCCTTAAAAGTCGAGATGGCTGGACTTTGTCTCTCATATTTAGACATATTATCAGGAGGGACCAGTCCCTGGAGAAGGACATCGTGCTTGGTAAAGTGGAGGGACAGAGAAACAGAGGGAGGCCCCCGACGAGATGGATGGGCACAGTGGCAGCAACAATGGGCTCAAGTGTGGCAGCAACTGAGAGGATGGTGCAGGATGGGGTGGTGTTTCATTATGGTGTGCACAGGGTTGCTATGAGGCAGAGCTGACTCCACAACACCTAACAACAACATATGGAAAACACTGAGAAAAGTATTTGGAACATGAGTGCTCAGAAAACGTCATGATTATGATGATTGTTATATTTTATATGCAACAACTATTATTATCAGGATGAATAATAATAATAAAACTTGGCTGTTTTAGTGTTGGATATTTTACAGAAATAAAAATGTCCTTTTTGTCTGTCTTTTCAGATAAGTTGGTTACCCTGGAACTCTTGAGTGCTAAAACATCCAACAAGACTGATGCCACCTCTTGTCACCATGGAGATATTACTTCATGCCAAGGGTTTTCAGCACCTAGCGATCCCTGATATTGTCAGAGCATTATATAAAGGTTACAGAACAATGCCCCCTCAGTATTTCTCTAATTATGAATCCATGAAACAGGACTTCAAACTGGAGGTCCCAGAATATTTCAACTTCGCTAAAGATGTCATGGATCAGTGGACCAAGATAGAAAAGGTACAGCACAGGACCCATCAGGTGATGGCAGTGGTTCTCAGGTGGGAGCAATTTTGCCCCCAAGGGACATGTGGCAATATCCTGAGACCTTTTTGTTGTCTAGATTGGGATGGGAGAGATGCTAGTCCCATCTAGTGGGGAGAGGTCAGGAACGCTGCTAAGCATCCTACAGTGCACAGAATTAAGAACCCAAACCAAGGCAGTTACTATGGAGTAGATTGGGAGTCATGGTAACCCTCTGTCACTGTAGAGCTATGTTCTACTGGGTTTCCTTTCAGTGGCTGATTTTCCAAAAGTAGACTGCCAATTTTTCTTCCAAGATGCCTCTGGTAGGCTAGAAACTCAAACCTTTTAGTTAGCAGCCAACCACACTAATCATTTGTACCACCCATGGACTCCAACAAAGAATTGTCCTTACTGTTTTAGGTGCTGTTGATTCGGTTCTGACTCATAGCAACCCTGGGTACATCAGATGGAAACATTTTCCGTGTCCTGTATCATCCTCACAATCATTGTCATGGTTGAGCACACTGGTGCTGTCACTGTGGCAATCCATCTTGTTGGGGTTTTCCTCGTTTTCATTGACTCTCCACTTTACCAAGCATAATATCCTTCCTTCTCCAGGGACTGGTCCTTCCTAACATGCCCAAAATATAAGAGATTGAGTCTCACCATCAACTCTTCTAAGGGTCAATCTGACTGCACTTCCTCCACACCAGGTGTGTTTGTCCTTCTGGCAGTCCATGGTACTTTCAATATTCTTGGCCAATACCATAATTCAAATGCATTAGTTTTTCTCCGGTCTTTCTTATTTATTGTCCATGTTTTACGTACACATGAGATGACTGAAAATACCATGGCTTGGGTCATCTTAGTCCTCAAGAAGGTGACATCTTTGCTCTTAACGACTTTAAACAGGTCTTTCAGAGCAGATTCATTCACTGCACTACATCATTTGGTTTCTTGACTGCTGCTTCCATGAGCATTGATTGTGGATCCAATAAGATGAAATCCTTAACAGCTTCAACCTTTTCTCATTTGTCATGATTCTTATTGGTCCAATTATGAGGATTTTCATTTTATTTACATGAGGTGCAATCCATTTGAAGGCCGTGTTCTTTGATCTTTATCAGTAAATACTTCAAATCCTCTTCACTTCCAGCAAACAAGAGTGTACCATGGGTATATGTTAATAAGTCTTCCTCCAATCCTGTTGCCAAGTTCTTCTGCATACAGTACAGCTTCTCAGATTATCTGCTTAGCATACAAATTGAATAAATATGGTGGAAGAGTACAACCCTGGCACATACCGTTTCTGGTTTTAAATCACTCAGTGTCCCCTTGTCCTGATTTAACAACTGACTCCCGGACTATGTACAGGTTCTTTATGAGCGCAATTAAGTGTTCTAAAATATCCATTCTTCTCAGTGTTATTCATAGCATGTTAGGATCCACAAACAGTGAAATACCAACCATGGAGTTATTCAGTCTAAAATGTCAATAATTCCATAGCTGAGAAATCCTGGGTTATATAAACATATGACTCGAAGTTAATTTTTTAAAAAAAGAGTGAAAAGTGATTCTAAGAGTCAGAAGTGGTAGGAAATGAGCCATAGATACTATACTGTATGGAGAGAAACATAAATGGATGCAAGAACTCTAACGTTCTGGAAAGTAAAACAATCAGACTGAATGAGAAATGACATGGACCAGAAAAGATGACATAGCTTTCTCAATACCTAGAAATATGGGGCCCAAGGTATTTCCAAATGTTCCAAATATGTTCTATTCAATGACTTGTGAATTTTCTTCAAAGAAAGTACTCCATTACAACAGTTGAAAAGTAGAATTTAACTGCACAACAACCTTAAAATCCTGACTGGTTTCTCTTTCCTTAGGCTGGAAAGAGGTCTCCCAATCCAGCTTTCTGGTGGATAGATGGAAATGGAGAAGAGGTGAGGTGGAGTTTTGAGGAACTGGGATCTTTGTCCAAGAAATTTGCTAATACACTTACAGAAGCCTGCGCCCTGCAAAGGGGGGATCGAGTCATTTTGATTCTACCCAGGATTCCAGAGTGGTGGCTTGCAAATCTGGCTTGTCTTCGAACAGGTTAGTAATGTTTACACTCTGATTGTATTTAAACTAAGCTGGATGGGAGATTTTCCAAAACATCTAAGGCATTAAGAAACATTTATTTGGGTATATTCTTTGAAGAAAAACTGTACACAATATAGGATTAACTTCAGGAACTTTAGAAATGTGTTGGAAACATGTAATATATTTTGACCTGAATTTATGTTGTTGTTTTTGATAGTTTTTCTGGAGCTGGGTTGTGTCTGAAGGAGTTCCTGGGTGGCATGAACGGTTACTCTTGACTCCCACGAGATAGATTGCTATTTCAAATCCATCCAGAGGTGCCTCAGAAGACACGCCTGGCAATCTACTTCTGAAAGGTCACATCCTTGAAAACTGTATGGAGCAGTTCTATTCTGTACACGGGGAGTCACTGTGACCTGAATTAGGACTGGGGTTTTTGGTAACAAGTTTGTTAAACAAATGAAATGCAACAATTGATTACTCTCGTATCTATTGCTCTTCTGCCACAGGACTGATGTTGTTGTTAAGTGCCATCGACTCAGTTTCAACTCGTAGCAACCTTGTATAGGGCTTCCGAGGAGCAGCTGGTGGGTTTGAACTGCCAACCTTGCATTTGCAGCCCAGTGCTGATTCTTCAGTGCCACTCCAGGAGTCCACAGGGCTCATGGACATCTAAAATTCAAAGCATCCACAACTGAATTTATCATCTGCCTACCCACCCCAATTTTGCTTCATGCATTTATTTCCTCATGGTTAACTACCATCTATCTGATGCCTCAAGCTAGCCATCTCTAACTCCTCCCTCCAAATCAGTCCCTACTGTTGTGTTGTTAAGTGCCTTTAAGTCGGTTCCAACTCATAGTGACCCTGTATATGGTCTCCAAGGAGTGACTGGTGGGTTTGAACCACCGACCTTTCAATTAGCAGTCCAGTCCTTATCCTAGAAGGCTTCACCAGGACCCCAATCAGTCCCTATGTCTTGTGAATTTGACCCTCTAAGTGACTCCAGAATGAACAGTGATTAAGCTCTGGGTCACTGACCTAAAGTCAGCACTCATCAGACCATCTGCAGGAGAAAGACATGAACGTCTGCTTCCTTACAGATGACAGTCTTGGAAACTCTATGGGGCGGTGCCACTCAATGCTGTAGCGCACTCTGAGTCAGAATCCACTTGACAGAGTTATTACGCTTTTTGTTATCAGTGTCTCCAGAGTCCCTCTTCTCCAATATCATTGCCATTACCTTATATCTTTATCATCTCCTGAGTGGATTTCCCCCCAAGTTCTCCCTAATTCTGGTCTTAAGAGTTTTCACACCTCACCCCACCCCAATTCATCCTCTGTAGCCAGTGGGTTTTTTTTTTTTTTTTTCCTGGAACATACATTTTATCCTGTTAGTTTGCTGTTTAGCATCATGTAACAACTCCCTATTATCTATCAGAGAAAATCTAAACTTCTTTAGATGAGTCATGAAAGGCCCTAGTACTTGTTACTGTTAGGTGCCGTTGAGTCGGTTCTAACTCTTAGTGACCCTACGCACAACAGAGCAAATCTCTGCCCAGCCCTGTGCCATTCTCACAATTACTACGTTTGAGACCATTGTTGCTGCCATTGTACTAACCCATCTTGTTAGGGGTCTTCCTCTTTTTCACCTACCCTCCACTTTCTCCAAGGAGTGATCCCTCCTGATAGCATGGCCAATGAATGACAGACTAAAGCTCGCCATCCTCGCTTCTAAGAGCATTCTGGCTACATTTCTTCCAAGGCAGGTTTCTGTATTCTACAGGTAATATTCTTCCCCAAAACCATAATTCTAATGCATAAGTTCTTCAACAATCTCCCTTATTCACTGTCCAACTTTCACATGCATATGATGCAATTGAAAATACTATGGTCTGGGTCAGGTGCACCTTAGCCCTCAAAGTAACATCTTTCCTCTTTAACATTTTAAAGAGGTCTTTTGCTGCAGAATTGCCTACTGCAATATATCTTTTGATTTCTTGACTGCTGCTTCCATGAGTGTTGATTGTGGATCCAAGAAAAATGAAGTCTTGGACAACTTCAATCTTTTCTCCATTTACCATTATGTTATTTATTGGTCCGTTGGTAAGGAATTTTGTTTTCTTTACAGTGAGATGCAACCCATACCCAAAGCTGTAGTCTTCAACCTTCATCAGTAAGTATTTTAAGTCCTTTCCACTTTCAACAAGCAAGGTTGGATTATCTGCATATTGCAGATTGTTAATGAGTCTTTCTCCAATTCTGATGCCACATTCTTCTTCATGTAATCCAGTTTTTTAGATTATTTGCTCAGCATACAGATTGAATACATATGGTGAAAGAATACAACCCTGGCACACACCTTTCCGAATTTTAAACCATTCGGTGTTCTCGTGTTCTGTTTGAACAACTGCCTCTTCTTTATGTACAGGTTCCTCATGAGCACAATGTAATGCTCTGGAATACCCATTTTTCTCAATGTTTCTCAGTTCTTGTACGTTTTGTTATGATCCACACAGTTGAATGCCTTTGCATAGTCAAAAAAGCACAAGTAAACACCATTCTTGCATTCTCTGCTTTAACTAACATCCATCTGATATCAGCAATGATAGTCCTCATTTCCTGTTCTCTTAAGAATCCAGCTTGAATTTCTGGCAGCTCCCTGCCAATGTACAGTTACAACAGTTTTGTTTTTTTTTTCTTTAATTTATTTTCAGCAATGTTTTACTTGCATGTGATATTAATGATATTGTTTAGTGATTTTTCAGTTGGGTCACCTATTATTGGAATGGGCACAACTATGGATCTCTTTCAACTGGCTGGCCAGGTTGCTCTCTTCCAAATTTCTTGGCACAAAGTAGTACCTCCAGCACTGAATTTGTTTGTTCACACATTTCAATTGGTTTTCCATTGATTCCTGGAGCCCTGTTTTTTACTAATGCCTTCAGAGCAGCTTGGACTTCTTCCTTCAATACCATCGATTCTTGATTATATGGTATCTCTTGAAATGGTTGAACATTGACCAGCTTTTTGGATACAATGACTCTCTGTATAACTTTCATCTTCTTTTGATGCTTCTTGCATCATTTAATATTTTGCCTATAGAATCCTTCAGTGTTTCAACCTGAAGAACTTTTTCTTCAATTCTTTCAGCTTGAGAAATGCTGAGGATGTTCTTCCCTTTTTGTTTTCTATTTCCAGATCTTTGCGCATTTCATTATAATATTTAACCGTCTTCTTGAGCTGCTCTTTGAAATGTTCTGTTCATCTCTTTAACTATCTCATTTTTTCTCACTTGTTTTATCTTCGCTATACTCAAGGGCAAGTTTCAGAGTCTCTTCTGACATCCATTTTGGTCTTTTCTTTCTTTTGTATAACTTTTTGTTTGCTTCATGGATGACATTCTTGATATCATCTCACAGCTCTTCTGGTCTTCAGCCATTGGTATCTAATGCATCAAATCTGTTCTTGAGGTAGTCTCTAATTCAGGTAGGATAGATTCAAGGTCATATTTTGATTCACACAGACTTGTTTTAATTAATAGATGTTTAATAAATTAATTAATGGATACCAATCTTATGAATTCCATTTCATCTTTTAACAACTTTCAATTTTCCTAGATTCATACTTTGTACATTCCAAGTTCTGATTATTAATGGATGCTTGCAGCTGTCTCTTCCCATTCTGAGTTGTATCACATCAACTAATGAAGTTCCTGAAAGCTTTGTTTCATTGATGTCATTAAGGTCAAATCTACTTTGAGGAGGTAGCTCTTCCCCAGTGGCATTCTGAGTGCCTTCCAACCTGAGGGACTTATCTTTAGTCACTATAGTCGATAATGTTCCACTGCTCTTCATAAGGTTTCCAGTGGCTACCATTCAGAAATAGTCCACCTCTCCTTCTTCCTAGTCTGTCATAGTCTGGAAGCTCTGCTGAAATCTGTCCACTATGAGTGAGCCTGCTGGGATTTAAAATACTGGTGGCACAGCGACATACAAGCCGCCACAGTACGACACACTGACAGACGCGTGGTGGAAGCCCTAGGTTTCTCCTCATTGTTGTTCCTATTTCTCCGACTCTTCAGCTGTATCAAATGGTTTCCTGGAAGGTTTGAGATCTTTCCCATCTCTTGGCTTTTGTCCACAATGTTTCCCATGCTTGGAAAGCCTTTCCCTCATACTTAACCACCTGGACACCTCCTAGTGTTCAAGTCTCATCTCCAATGTTTCCTTCATAGGCAATCCCACCCTAACATTCCATTGCAGCTGCTTTTATTGTGGGACTCCTCAAAGGAACACATATGTACCTTGATTTTAACATTTTAGCATATTGACTGGGTGTGGGATCTTGGTGTGGTGCTGTAGGATAAGCACTGGACTGCTAACTGCAAGGTCAGTGGTTCAGATCCCCCAGCTGCTCCGTGGAAACCCTATTCAGAGTCACTATACCTTGGAATCAACTTGAAGGCACTTAACAATGTATGGACTGAGTACTATTTGCTTATGTGTCTGCCAGACCCATAAAACTATGTAACCAGCTTGATGTCACGTAACAACTGGTGATTCTAAGGAACCCTGGTGGCACGGGGGATTAAGCATTGGGCTGCTAACCACAAGGTTGCTGGTTCAAACCCACAGACTCCTCCCAGGGAGAAAGATGAGGCAGTTTGTTCCCATAAAGATTTACAGTCTCAGAAACCCTAATGAACAGTTCTACTCTGTCCTGTGGGGTGGCTATGAGTCAGATTTGACTTGATGGCAGTGTGTACGGGTGATTCTGATGTGTGTTCAAGTTTGAGAACCAGTTAGCTGGAGGAAGTGAATTTGTTATCATAGAATGGTGTCAATTACATGTTGCCATCCAGTTGACTGGGGACTCCATGTGAGTCAGAGTAGAACTGTGCTCCCCAGAGTTTTTAATGGCTGATTTCTAGAAGCAGCTCACTGAGCTTTTCCCCCCAAGGCACCTCGGGGTAGACTGTGACCTTTTGGTTAGCAGCTTAGTGCATGAAGAGCTTACACCACGTCATAAGGTGACAAGACTTTAGCAGATCTGTCCACCACCTAGTAAGTCAGGAAACTTATATGTCAGTGTGCGGAGAGTACAACTTGGAATGTGAAGGATGGTGATGGTGGTGGTGGTGGCTATGTGCCGTGGAGTTGGTTCTGATTCATAGCAACCTTGTATAGAGTTTCCGAGGCTGTAAATCCTTACAGGAGCAGAAAGCCTCATCTTTCTCCCGTGGAACTGCTGGTAGTTTCGAACCGCTGATTGTGAGATTAGCAGCCTGACTCGTAACCTCTACGCCACCAGAGCTCCAGAATATGAGGTGAGGACTCTCATTACCACATGTGTGGATTTTTTTTTTTTTTTTTGCTAAATGCCATCAAGTCAGTTCTGACTCATAGTGGCCCTGTATAGGAGAGACTGGTGAACTTGAACCGCAGGCCTTGTGGTTCAAATGACCTTGCTGTCCAGCATGTCAATCCTATTAGTAAGGTATTCACTTGCATTAAGAAGCATATTTATGACAAAGGCCAAGAGATTCTGGCTGCGAGTAACCCCCTCGCTCCCTGTTAACAAAGCTACATGAGAAGACAGAGTTGAGCCTGAAGTCTGTTTTATGGACATGGGTTTAGGATAGGAGACTTTCAAAATTCAATTTGTTGGCATCAAGATTTAAAAGCCCGATCCATCCACCCATCCCTCTAGACCCATCCACCCATCTCCAACACACATTTACTGAGCACCTGACATGCTTCAAGTACTGTGCAGTTTAGAGTCCACTGGGAGAGAAAGCGATGAGTTCATCATCACCTAGTGTGTGGTTAGACTGACAAATGTGACGGAACAAATAGCAGAGGAGTTTCAAGTGCACACTAGGGGACCCACAATACCCTGAGAGGGGTGCTGTTCAAACCAGGCCTGAGGGGTATGATTCAGTAAGAGAAGGAGAAGGAAGACAAGGAGGGAGCAGTCGAGGCGAATGAAAAAAACCCAACCCAACCCATTACCATTGTGATCCTACAGGACTGAGTAGAACGGCTCTCATAGGGAGTCCTGGTGTGGCGCTGTGGGATCAGCACTGGACTGTTAACCACAAGGTCAGTAGTTCAAACTCACCAGCCGCTACTCAGAAATCCTATACAGGGTCGCTAAGAGTCAGAACCAACTCGATGGCATCTGACAACAGCAATGGTCTCCATAGAAGTAAACTGCTGTATCCTCGTTCCCATGGAGCACCTGGGGGGTTCAAGCTACTGACTTGTTAGCAGTACTGCTTAGCCTGCCATCTCTGTGAACCACTGCGTCTGTTTACAGTGACTGCATCTCTCGCTTTTCTATGATGTGGCGTTCTAGGTCATCTGTTTCCTTCATTTCCAAGTTCTCAGAGAGATCTGCCCTATAGACCTCAGTGCCAACAAATAAAATCATATCGCATTTTAATTTTGAAATTCCTATGTATCATAGGTGAAATCCCATTACAGCAGAAACCTCAGCCTGTGACTATTTATAGGTAGGAAGCCTCTATCATGTGGACCCTTAGTTTAGGAAATGTTTACCAGAAAATGAGTGCAATACCAAACTCAGCTGATGGAGTGTTTCACATTCCTATGATATACATGATCCCTCAGACTTTAAAATACATGTTTTTCGTATGTTCATTTGTTTCCTCACAAGAGTTGTAGGAATCCCTGGGTGGTGCTTCACACAGTTGACAAATGTCGAACCTGAAGCAGATCTAGGTGAAGTGGCTTATCCAGGGCCACTGGGCACTAAGGGTGCCTGACTCCGCTGGACCACTACACAGGAGGCAAGAAGATCACAATCACGGAAGTGCACCCCTCAGTCCTTTCCCTTGGAAAGAACCATCAGTCAGTCAGTTATGTGTACTTTGAGGCTGGTGTACTGACTTGGAAAGTATCCTTGTGACTCGGTGGTTAAAGTGCCTACTGCTAACAGAAATGCCAACGGTTCGATCCCACGATGTGCTCTGCAGGAATAAAACGTGACAGTCTGCTTCTGTAAAGATGACAACCTTGGGAATTCTATGGGTCGGTTAGGAGTTGACTCAATACTACTGGCTTTGGTTGGGTTTGAACTGAAGTGTGAAGCCTGGTGTTGCAGTGTTTAAGTGCTAGCTGTTAATCAAGAGGTCGGTGGATTGAACTCATCAGAAGTTCTGCAGGAGAAAGAAGCGGCAGTTCTGTAAAGACTAGTCTTGGAAACCCTGAGTGGGCAGCAGTTCTACCCTGTCCTATAGGGACACTATGACTTGGAATGACTCCATGGCAATGGGGGATTTTGGTACTGGAGTTAGAATGCAAAATGGATTTCTTATTCGGTGACTTGCTACTTCAGTAATCTTGCACAAGTTATTCCTAGCTTTATGCTTTTGGTTTTTTGGTGGGTATTACATGACCTAAAGGACTCCTGGTGTGGCACTGCAGGATAATGCACTGGACCGCAAGGTCAGTTTGAGCCACAAGATTGGCAGTTCAAGCTGCAAGGCTGGCAGTTCAAACCCATCAGCTGCTCATCAGAAACCCTATAAAGGTCGCTATGAGTCGAGATTGACTCAACAGCACTTAACAACAACAACAACAACAATTAGTTTTATGGGAGTCCTGATGTGGTACTATAGGATAAGCACTGGACCATAAGGTGAGTTTGAACCTCAGGGTCAGCAGTTCAAACTCACCAGCTGCTCCCTGTAAACCCTATACAGGGTCACTATGAGTTGGAACAGACTCGACGGCACTTACCAACAACAAATGAGTTAAAACATATAAAACAGTTAGAATTGCACCTGGCACACTGAAAGTACTTGATAAATGTTGGATGATATTACTTCTCAATTAAATTCCCTTTCAAGCTCATTTTATGAATAGTCTTCAAATAGATAATTATCTATTTTTGCATCCTTTTATATTGGTGTAATGATAAAATATCACAACCAGGTGATCTGTTGGAAGGTCACAGCTATGAAAACTCTAAGGGACAAAGTTCTACCCTGTAACACATGGGGGCACCATGAGTCCAAATTGACAGCATTTCGTTTGCTTCTTTTATTTTTTAGATCAAAGTATCATAGATTTTGAGATCCCTTGAAAGCAAAAGCAGAATAATGGAAAAAAGACAAAAAGATACCTTGCCTGGTAAACTAATTAACTCCTTCTGAGAATACAGACTGTATGTGACCATTCTGTATCTACTACCATAAATAACATACCCTAATCGACTACCATAACTAACATACCCTGATCTACTACCATAACTAACTAACATACCCGGACCTACTACCATAGCTAACATACCCGGATCTACTACCATAGCTACCATACCCTGATCTACTATCATAGCTAACATACCCGGATCTACTACCATAGCTACCATACCCTGATCTACTATCATAGCTACCATACCCTGATCTACTACCATAGCTACCATACCCAGATCTACTACCATAACTAACATACCCGGATCTACTACCATAACTAACATTGGAGTCCTGGTGTGGCGCTGTGGGATAATGCATTGGACCGCAAAGTTGGTTTGAATCGCAAGGTCAGCGGTTCAAATTCACCAGTGATTCCTTGGAAGCACTATGTTGTTGTTGTTGTTGTTAAATGGTGTCAAGTCGGTTCTGACTCTATTGACCCTATCTAGGGTTTTGAAGGAGCAGCTGGTGAGCTTGAACCACCAACCTTGTGGTTCAAACTGACCTTGCAGTCTAGCTATGAGTTGGAACCGATTTGACAGCACTTGACAACAACAACAACATGACAAAGAAGAAAATCTGTTTTTCTAAACACTGTTTCTTTTCTGCTCCCTTAGGGACAGTTTTAATTACAGGACCCACTCAACTGACCCAGAAAGACATCCTTTACAGATTACAGTCATCCAGAGCCAAGTGCATTATTACTGATGACGTTTTAGCCCCAGCTGTGGATGCCATCATACCTAAATGTGAAACCCTGCGCTCCAAGCTAATTGTGTCTCAGAACTCCAGAGAGGGATGGGGGAACCTCAAGGAGATGATGAGGTGAGTAACCGTAATTGTAGAACAGCTTCCCTAAAGGAAATAAAGGAAAGATGTCCAACTCATTTATCATTGTTGTTGTTAAGTGCCATTGAGTTAGTTCTGACTCAAAGCAACCCCGTATAGGGTTTCCAAGGAACAGCTGGTGAGTTTGAACCACTGACCTTGTGGTTCAAACTGACCTTGTGGTCAAATGCTTATCCTACAGCGCCATACCAGGACTTCCTCCAACTCACTTGTTGTTCTTAAGTGTCATTGAGTCAGTACCAACTCATAGCAACCCCTGTGTACAACAGAACGAAACACTACCCGGTCCTGAACCATCCTCACAATTGTTGCCACGCTTGAGCCCATTCATGCTGACACTTTGCTAAACCATTTCACTAGGGGTCTTCCTCTTTTTCTCTGACCCTCCACCTTACCAAACATGATATCCTTCCCTCTTGACAATATGTCTGAAGTATGAGAGACAAAGTTTGGCCATTCTGGCCTCCAAGGAGCACTCTGGCTGCACTTCTTCCAACACAGATCCGTTTGTTCTTTTGGCAGCCCATAGCACTTTCAATATTCTCCCCCAACACCATAACTCAGAAGCATCAATTCTTCTACGGTCTTCCTTATTCACTGTCCAGCTTTTGCATGCATATGAGGTTACTGAAAATACCATGGCTTGGATCAGGCACACCTTAGTCCTCAAGCTAACATTTTTGCTCTTCAACACTTTAAAAAGGTCTTGTGCAGCAGATTTGTTTAATGCAATACACCATATGATTTCTTGACTACTGCTTCCGTGAGTGTTGATAGGTGATCCAAGAAGAATGAAGTCCTTGACAACTTCAATCTTTTCTCCAATGATAAGAATGTTGTTTATTGGTCCATTGGTGAAGATTTTTGTTTTCTTTACATTGACTCACTAGTGATCAGAAAAATGCAAGTTAAAGCTCTAAGTAAGGGGCCCAGAGTGGATATAGGTTGGGATTCCCAGGAAGCAGACCCTGAGTAAGAAGCCTAATAAGGAGTTCTCAGGGTCACCACCTGTGAAGGCAAGGCAAGGCAAGGCAAGTGGAATTAGGCAGAGAAACAATGTGTGTTTTGTTTTTTAAAACTTTTTATTGTGAACTAAGTAAAGGCTTATAGAGAAAATCCTCAGTTTTACATTCAACAAATCATAAACTTTGCTTCGTTACAATGACTGAAATCCCTTCCATGTACCAAGAGTTAGCAGCATATACCTCTATTCACTTTAACCTTGCATTCCTCCACATCTCCTGCTATCTCCATGTTTCCTCTGCTAACCTCTCTCTTGTTTACTGCCTGCCCTGTCACCCATATTAACATGTGTCCACAACCCTCTAGCCTCTGGTAGCACAGTGGTTACAAATCGGGCTGCTAATCTCACAGTCAGCAGTTCAAAACTACCAGCTTTCTGGGGGAGAATGCTGAGGCTTTCTGCTCCCATAAAGATTCATAGTCTTGGAAACCCCGTACAGGGACGCTATGAGTCAGAACCGACTTCACGGCACATAACAACAACAACCCTCTAGCCTGTGAATAATTTTCCCTCTTCCATCTCCTCTCCCCTGCCCTGTAACCATCATAGATTGTTTCTTTTATCAAGAAAACCTTTTAACTTTTACAACATTGATTGTCTTATCAAGAAAGCTTTTCCTTAACTTTTACAACACTGATTGTCTTATCAAGAAAGCTTTTCCTTAACTTTTACATCGGTCTTGTACAATCTTGTCTTTTTGTGAGTCACTAATTTCACTCAGCATAATGTTCTCCAGGCTCATCCATATTGTGAGATGTTTCACAGATTCAGTGTTGTTCTTCAACGTTACATAATATTCCATTATGTGTATGCACCAAAGTTTGTTTAACCTCTTCTGCTGATGAGCATTTAGGCTGTCTCCATCTTTTGTATAATGTCTCTTGTAGACAGCATATCGAAGGATCCTGTTTTCTTATCCGTTCTGCATTCTCTGTCTCTTGACTAGTACATTTATTTCATGTACATTCAGTGTAATTATCAATAGGTAAGAATTGATTGCTGTCATTTTGCTGTGTGTGGTTTTGTTTCACATAATTTTCCGCACTCAGTTTATTTAGTTTGTGGGTTTTCTTTTCATTTATGTTTACTATATTTTTGGGTTTTCTTTTTTTTATTTTGATGTACAGGTATATTCGTTTTCTTTGAGGTTACCCATAATTAATTTTTTTCCATGTTGAAAAGAGTCTGTTTTATCCTGAAATCTACTTGACTTCCTCACCACTTGAAAGTTCTGGAGTTACACTATTCCTTCTTTTTGCCTTTTAGTTGACTTCATTATAAATTGGTATCTTTGGCTCCCTATTTTCAGTCTTGTAGGCTTGTTTTACTTTGAATACTCCTTACCAGTTGCTCTGTGGGATATAGATGAGGCTTTCTGCTCCCATAAGGATTTACAACCTCAGAAACCCTACAGAGGTGCTATGACTCAACAACACACAGAGGCATCAGCAGTTTTATAATGTTAACCATGACTTCTATTAATGTACTAATTCTAAAAAATCATATTTTTAAGTATCCACTGTGGAGGGAAAGTGGCATTTCTTCACATAACCATGATTACAAGATTACAAGAAATTCTTGAGTGTTTTAAATGATTCAAGACTTCTTTATTATCCATGAAAAAGCTATGAAATTGACTTCTGGGCTAGGGATGGCAAAGTTTATTTTGATTCCAGAAAGTACCTAAAAAGATGGAGAGATGGGTTTTAACTTCAAATTGAACCTAGGTCATTAGGGCCTGATCCATGAGGTGAAGAGGCCAGTTCTTGAGACCCATTCAGAGGTATGAGTCTTTGACATTGTGTTGGATGTTGCTGTGTTCTTTCATAGACATGCCAGCGACAGCCATACCTGTGTGAAGACCAAACACAATGAGCCGATGGCCATTTACTTTACCAGCGGGACAAGTGGCTCTCCGAAAATGACCGAGCACAGCCAAGGCAGTTTTGGTATAGGACTGTCGATCAATGGAAGGTATTTCCACCACACTGCAGCTTGAAGGATCCAAACTAGAAAGGTGACAATTCATGTACGGTCTTCTTTCTTTGGTCCTTGCATACATCAGGATTATTCTTTGTTTTCCCAGATTCTGGCTGGACTTGACACCCTCAGATGTGATGTGGAATACCTCAGACACAGGCTGGGCAAAATCTGCGTGGAGTAGTGTCTTTTCTCCATGGATCCAGGGAGCATGTGTATTTGCACATTATCTGCCACGTTTTGAGCCAACTTCCATCATGCAAGTAAGGCAGAGCACAAGAGGCAGAATTTAGCAATGCATTAGTAAGACTGAGGAATACGATAGCTTATAGATGTCAGAGTAGACAACATGATTTCAGATATTTCATGTCTGGAAAGTTAGTCTGCAAAGGTGTACAAAGCAAAGGTGTGAGTGTAATTACAGTCAGTACACAATAAGTTATCCTGGGCCAACCACAGACATCTAAGTATTTATTATAGTTGTTAAGACCATGAGTTTACTTCTTCTAAATTTCAGACACTCTCCAAGTTTCCCATCACCGTCTTTTGTTCAGCTCCGACTGCATACCGAATGCTTATACAGAATGATATGACCAGGTAAGAAAAATGGATAAATTGGCCTTCGTAGGGGAAGAGGGAGGAGGCCTGGTGGAACAGTGGTTAAGTACTTGGAAGCTAACTGAAAGGTCAGCAGTTTGAACCCACCAGCCTGCTCCGTGTGAGAAAGATGTTCAGTCTGCTGCCCTAAAGCTTTATGGCTTTGGGAACGCTATGGAAGAGTTCTACTAGAAGTCCCAATGGACTTGGTGACAATGGGTTTGGGTTTGGGGTCGGGAAAATGGGGAGGAAAAGGAAGCTATCAAATAAAAGATCTTTCTGCCTAAAATCATAGCTCCAGACTAGTAGGTTTCTTCTCCTCGCTAACACGGTATAAGTGTTTAATACTGTGTCTAGGGTAGGTTCCACCAAGTAAAAGACTCATCTCAGTGAGGATGGGTGAGAGGCTGTAACTGTTTGGGATGATGATTGTTGCCTGAGCTGAGAAAATAGAGAAGTTGCTCTTATTCTGGTCCCAAGCTCAGCAAATAGCGAAAAGGTTAAATGGCTTTATTACTGATTCCTTTGGAAACGGGAGATGGATAAACATTTACCAACTGATCTTATTAAATGTTGGCTAGGGAATTCATCAACATGACATCAAATTCAACAGGTATATAAGAACATATAGTGAAAGGTCCCCTTCCAATCGCTGATACACAAGTCAGTCCGCATGTCTTCTCCTCTCGTTTCTAGACACTGCAGAATTTGCACACAGGTCTGTACCTTAGTTTTCCCTTAACAGTACAGTTTTAAAGGGGGCTTTAAAATATTCATAGGAAAATCCCATTACCTTTGCATTCCATTTTTCCATGAATTCTTCTGGAAAGCTCCCTCAAATATCCCAGAACTGGGCTCACCAATATGGTGACCACTAGCCACATGTGACTACTTAAATATTTAGTCCTTCCACAATGCTTCAAGAGTTCATTAGCCACAGTGGTTGGTTATGTGTCATGGAGTCTGTTCCAACTCATAGGGACCCTATATAGGGTTTCTGAGGCTGTAAATCTTTCCAGGAGCAGAAACCCTCATCTTTCTCCCGTGGAACAGCTGGTAGTTTCAAACTGTTGACCCTGAGGTTAGCAGCCCAACCTGTAACCATTACGCTACCAGAGCTCCTTATGAGCCACATAGGGCTCATGTAGTGGATAACATAGAACTGAGAACATTCCCATCATGACAGAATGTTCTACTGGACAGCACTGTCTAGGAGCCTCCTCATTCTATTCATAACTGTGTGCAGAGTATTTCATAGCATAAATGTATCACGGTCAATTTAAGCAGACAATTGGTAAACTTTGAATCACTGACTTACAATGTTTTTATGTGGTTCCATCCCTAAGCTAAGGAAATCGTTAATGAAGCTGACTACAAACTAGGTGCTGTTTGGCCAACTCCAACTCCTGGAGAACCCCACCGGTGTCGGAGTAAAACCGCTCCATCGGACAGTGAATAAGGAGGATCGTAGAAGAATTGATGCCTTTGAGTTGTGGTGTTGGAGAAGAATACTGAAAGTGCCATGGACTGCCAAATGAATCAATAAATCTGTTTTGGAAGAAGTGCAGCCAGAGTGCTCCTTGGAGGCCAGGATGGCTAAACTTCGTCTCTCCTACTTTGGACATATTGTCCGGAGGAAACAATCGCTGGAGAAGGATGTCATGCTGGGTAGGGTGGAGGGTCAGAGAAAAAGAGGAAGACCCCCAACGAGATGGATCAGCCAGGTGGCATCATTGATGGACTCAGGTGTGGCAGCGGTAGTGAGGTTGGCCCAGGATCAAACATTGTTTCGTTCTGCTGTGCATAGGGTCGCTATGAGTCGGTTCTGAAGCGATGGCACCTGACAACAACAACAACAACAAACTAAAAGGCTGGAGGGTCACGTCAACCCAGATGAACTTGAGAAGGAAAACCTGGTGATCTACCACCAAAAAATCCGTCACTGAAAATCCGATGGAGCGGTTTTACTCCGACACCGGTGGGGTTCTCTAGGAGTTGGAGTTGGCCAAACAGCACCTAGTTTTTCCTACCTTCTCCTGTGACTGCTTGGCTTTTCTTTGCCACAAGTCATCTCCCCTTTCAAAAGGGAAAAAAGAAAACCAATTTTATGGTACTAGAATTTTTTTTTTTAATCAGGGAAAGGGGCCTGGAAGGAAGTAAAACACAGTTCAATTTAAAGTTCACGAGAAACAACCCTAATTTCCATTTCTCCCCCATTTTCCCTCCTAAATCAAACCTAACTTGCTATCTGTTTACTGAGAAGCTATAACTTCAAAAGCTTGAAGCACTGTGTGAGCGCTGGAGAGCCAATGAACCCTGAAGTGACTGAACACTGGAGAAATCAGACGGGTCTGGATATCTACGAAGGATATGGGCAGACGGAAACGGTACACTGAGCCCACTGATGTAACAGGGCTGGATACTATTCAGTCAGATGAATAAATATCTAAGTGTCAATTACAGCCTTCTGATTATTTGAGGGGTAGGGAAAGAATGGAGTAGTTAGAAGAGTATTTTAAAAATATCTTTAAAATGCTTGAGGATACCTCAATTATAAGATAGCTCTATAACAGATGAACAGATACAGTTGTTATTTAGACAATGGCTACTGAGAAAAACACTCTACTACAGTTGATTGAGTGAGGGCATTATAGTATTTAAAAAAAAAAAAAAAACACTAACTCTATAAAAAGAGTTTTTGCCTGTGGCATAGTATACTGTGATTCAGGGTGGTCTTAAAGGGGAAACCTCGGAAATACTTGTCTCTGGAAATAATGAGTTTGCTGGACAACTCCTTGGCAAACATACTTTAAAAGTGTTCTTTAAAGAGCTCAAAGAGATCATTAAGAAGAAGAAATTCTAGAAAAGATTTATGAAAAATAATGAAAGTGGTTTTTATGGAGGGAAGCATTCTGGTGGCCCAGTGGCTAACGTGGTAGGCTGCTAACTGAAAGGTCGGCTGCCAGCTGCTTCACAGGACATCTGAAATGTGGCAGGAGGCTTCCACAGATTGGTGTTGATGTTGTTAAGTGCCATTGAATCGGTTCTCACTCATAGTGACCCTGTATTGGGTTTCCAAGGAGTGGTTGGTGGCTTTGAACAGCCAACCCTGCGGTTAGTGTCCAGTGCTTATCCTACAGCACCACACCTTGGAAGTCCTATGGAACAGTTGTACTCTGTTGCTATGAGTGATAGTCAACTCAATGGCTTGGGGTTTATAATAAATATGTAATGCTTTGATAATTATAAGTTTATAAGTGCTAAGGAGCTCTGGTAGCGTAGTAGTTACAAATTGGGCTGCGAGCCGCAAGGTCAGCAATTCGAAACTACCAGCTGTTCCGCGGGAGAAAGGTGAGGCTTTCTGCTCCCGTAAAGATTTACAGCCTCGGAAACCCTGTACAGGGTCGCTATGAGTCAGAACCTACTCCAACAACAACATACTATATTATGGAGTGTGGCACTGCGGGTTAATGCACTGGACTTCAAGGTCAGCAGTTCAAGCTCACCAGTCACTCCTCAGAAACCCTATACAGGGTCACTATGAGTCGGAACTGACTTGACAGCATGTAGCAACAACCACATATATATTTGTTGAATATTTATACTCTATGAGAGCAGAGAGTTTGTTTTGTTATGAGTCTGGTTCAAGATAACTTGTCATGTTACCTTACTTTTTCTCCTTCTTCCTAACTAGGTGCTAATCTGTGGAAATTTTAAGGGGATGAAAATTAAGCCTGGCTCAATGGGAAAGCCTACTCCTATGTTTGACGTTAAGGTGCGCACATCTCTACACCCTATTCTTTGTTTGGGGGATGATTCTTTCTGCTGTTACCTCAAATGCCCTGGAAAGATGGATATGGCTTAGAAACACCAGGTTTCTGGTCTCTTTTTATTGATTTATTTTTAGTTTTGCAAATGCCTATATTATAACATGGTAAGTGCTCTACAACTAAATGAAAGGTTGCTCCTTAGAACCTACCAGCAGCCTCAGAGGGAGAAAAGACCTGCTGATTTGTTTCCATAAAGAGCCCAGCCTTGAGGTGGAAATCCTGTGGGACAGTTCTCCTCTGTCAAACTCATTCAACAGCAGTGGGTTTGGGCTTGGATGGGTCCCAACATGCATGGCTATCAGGGTCTCACGGGCTCAGTTGTACTCGAGGTGATCCCAACTGCATGTACCACCCCTTCAAGAACTCAACCCAGGGGCTTTTAGGAGCAGCTGTCTCTGAATCAATAAGGAAGACCGTAGAAGAACTCATGCGTTTGAGTTATGGTGTTCGATAAGAATAGTAAAAGTACCATGGACTGCCAAAAGAACAAACAAATCTGTGTTAAAGAAGTACTGCCAGAATGCTCCTTAAAAACCAGGATGGCGAGACTTCATCTCTCGTACTTCAGATATATCCCTGGAGAAAGACATCATCATGCTTGGTAAAACGGAGCATCAGTGAAAAAGAGAGAGACCCCCAATGAGATGGATTGGTACAGTGGCAGGTCGACAGTTCAAATTCACCAGCTGCTCCTTGGAAACCCTATAGAGGGTCCCTGTGAGTTGGAACTGACTC